GGAATCACTACTCGATCTTCAAAGATAAACTAGTCATAGTTTGTACAACCAATGATTGAATGGAAATAACATTCCTTGGTTTTGAACTTTGGGTTAGTAAGTTCAGGCAGAATGTATAGATTACATTTCGTGACTACTAGTTGATCATCAAAGCTAGGGCAATCATTGGATCAAGAGCGAGAAGATTGATGGGAAGTAACATTCCTTGGTTTTTGAGCTTTGGGCTAGTAAGTTCAGGCAGAATGTATAGATTACATTTCGTGACTACTAGTTGATCATCAAAGCTAGGGCAATCATTGGATCAAGAGCGAGAAGATTGATGGGAAGTAACATTCCTTATTTTCCAAGCTATTAAGTAATGCACACTGAAATGTGATTTCCACCTGATTGTTAAAAACTAGAATGTTCATATAATTGGAAAACTGCTGACCGAAATGGCATTGCAACCCCTGCTTTCTGTGTCATTGTTTAGCATTGGAAGAATAATTTATGCACTTCATTGTAGAGTTACTGCTCGATCTTCAGAGGTAAGACAAGCTATCGGGTAATGTTGAGATACAATGTATATACTACATTGTAGAATGATCATTCAATTATCGACAGTTAGTATGGTTATGTGATTAAAAAATAAATGATTGAAAGAGCCTTTCAACCCTTTTTTTTCAAGGCATAGGGTGAATTTTCTGATGTGAAACATCATCTCATGTTTTGAGAAAGTCACTTTAGCAATCTAGCTAAGAGGTGAGAATTCTGAAGAGCATATCACCCAGTGCTCACTAGATTTTCAATTGCTCTTCGTGAAAAATACATCAGGGAACGTAGCTCTTTCTGGGTGTTTATTGCAGTGCAGTAGTAACAGTACGAATAATAATATTAGTAAATAGACCTTTAGTCTAAAAGTTTTGATTGCTCTGAATTTTACCAGTAATTATATATTTGGAAGCTTGAAATAATGAAGAGTTGATTTTGATGGCCCTCAGATGGCAATATTGTCGCTATATAATGTAGTTTTGGCAGCATGGCCACAGGTAGCTGGTCAAATGAAAAAACTCACGTAAACTAGGGGATAAACAAGTTCTACGGGTAATGATAGGTGTGAGTATACTTCTAGCTTGCAGATGTGTCACTTCACCAGTACCTAGTTCATGATTGAGTGTTGTGACCCCCCCCCCTCCTTTAACCCATGCATTTGGCTGAGACTTTAACTAATGAAAACTCAGCCAACTTTTGCATTTGAATCTGGACGTTTAGTATTTAAGGTAAAGTTCTAGCCACAGTCAGTCTCTCACTTTGAGTTTTGACCCGACCTTTACCAATGTTCCAGTCCTATTCCTGTTTTTGTATTGTTTTGTTTAGAACTATAGTGAAAATGGATTTTGCATCACCCTTTGAGCCCCATAGCTGGTTCAGGACGTCAAGGATTTCTTCTACAACAATGGGTGTGAAGTTGTTAAGGAACAGGAAAGTGCCAGATTAAACTTGACAATTAGTGATCCTACGGATGAAGACACGTTGCTTACCAAGGCATGCGACTTGGAAGAGCTCACCAATCTGGTAAAAATGGTGGTGCTAATGTCTTCAAGGGCCAAGTCAAGTTTCTTGCAATAGTTGATAAATGCCCCTGATGCCACTGGGAAGTCTCAAGCATTGAATCATCAGAGTCAACACCATTGTATCTAGAGGAGTTGAAGAAAGAAAATAGGTGCCCAAAGATTTGTCCTATCTTATAGTTTGGCACAACCATGAAACGATGATGATAAATGTGTTCACATTTTCAATGAGACCACCACATCCCTAAGCCTAAGAAGATCCATCTAGTGCTAGGTGCATCTCAAGATTGTCCAAGGTTTGGGAAGATAAAGGCAGAGTGGGTTCCAGTAAAGCTGTAAAGTCAATGTGATAAAGACCAAACTAACAGAAATTCAAACAATCCAGATGGCTTGTCCAACAGTTCCTGCTGGCAACGATAGAGCTTCGACTTCGAAGGCTTGAGCTACTTGGGGATACAGAAGACCATACGCTACTGTAGTATATGAGGCACAATCAGCGAAGAGACCATAAAATACTTCCCAGAAGGTATCTTCTGGAGTAAGTGTATATTTTGTATATGTATATATCTAGTTTATGCTAATTTATATTGTATAATTTGTATTTTCTTTTGAATTTTGTTTTAAAACCCGAGAATCCTCTGTCTTCTGCACTCATTAGTACATGTGGTAGACAGGGGCCAAACAGTTTCGTGTTTTTTTCGGGAGGAGGTATTTTGTAAAGGTATATATATATATATTTGCATACAATGACATTGTGAAAGAGATAAGAGTTAAGGTTTTTGTGTGTTTACATTCTACAAGTATTTCTTTATTTTTCTTCTATTTTCGGATTACATATATTATTATGTACATTACAAGTTCAATGTGCCATTACTTTCTTGCATGCTCGAGTGGTTAGGTTTTTATTACTATTATTCTGGTGCCTTTGGGTTTATTCAGTTAAGGATATTTCTTGTTATGTTCTTTTGAGTATTTTAATTTTGTTCTTTTATTATGGTTTATTGTTATAATATTAAATCACAATTCAAAGGGATTTGTTTAATTGTATTTTGAATTCAGTGTTAAAGGTTTGTTTCTTTGTTGTTAAGCACAAAGCTACACAATGTGCTATTTGTGCTGTGCCCATCATGAGTATCAAAACCAAGTTTTTAGTGCTGTGAGCCTTCAGACTTATTGCTGAGCCAATGGAGGGGTCAATGTTAAAGGAATTTCGTTTTATGCCAGTGTCTGTCACTGCTTACCAGTTGAAAGCCTTAACTAGTTTGTTTAATTAAGTTTCGTGTTAAACTGCCCCTTTCGTGAAAGGAGCAGTTTTAAATCATCGTTAAAGTTCTGATTTAAAATGTGATGTATGTTAGAGGGCTCTTTCATTTTATTTTTAGCTTTGTGATTAGTTTTTTTTTGTATATTAGTCTGTTTACTCAGAAAGTGGATAGGATAACTTTATATTTTAATTATTTCTTTCTCTATCTTTTCTTACTTAGTTTTACTTTTTTCGATTGTAAGTGTGTGCTTGCACATCACTATTTCTAAATTAAAATGTATTTTCTTGTATGTTATTTGTGTTAAAGGGTGTAATACGTATTTATCTATGTTAAAAGGTTTAATTTAGCAATTATTTCCTTTATACATAAATTCGTTTAATCCTTGTAAGAGACCCTTTTCATTATGTTTTTTTTTAATTTTAGTTGGCGTACATATATATATATATATATTTATTTATATGCCTCAGTGACACAGAGGTATGTCTGCGGACTTACACCGCTGGAATCCGGGTTTTGATACCCGTGGTGGGCAGAGCACAGATAGCCCATTGTGTAGCTTTGTGCTTAATTACCAACAAACAAACAATTTACTTATAAATTGATTCATTAAAAGTTTCTTCTTTTGAAAGAGTATTTTTGATTCAATGATGTTTTATGGTTTTTGTATGTACTGTCGTAAGTATGAACCATAAATAGAGAATTTTTTTATCGTTATATGTAATTTCATAGTATGTCCATTAAAGTTGAAGGGATTTTATTCTAATATGTTGTACTTCAGTTTAACTCAATGTTAAAGAGTATATTTTGTGCTTATGTGTAATTCATTGTGTCGTCCATGTAACATGTAAGTGTTTTTAGAAATAAATTAAAATGCTCCTTAACTATGTCATGAGTTTAATTGTCAGTTTGGAAAAAGCCTGAAAGAAAGAAAGTATGACATGCGGGCATTTTATATCTTTTCTACTTTTTTTTTACAAGTTTCCGTTATTTTGTTTCTGTGTTGTAATGGCAACGTTAAAATCACCTTGTTCTATTTCTTTGTTTGTTCTCTATAGAAGGTAATGTATCTTCTTCCTAGGGGAATATTGCAGTAATATATAGCTTTAAAAGGATTGGTACTGTAATATCCTTTGCTGGCTGATAATAGCGTTGATGAATGTAACAAACGACCAATGTTGTGAGGGAACAAGCTCGCGAAGTGACTCCAGAAGCGTCGCTAAACAGTGGCATACGGGGTCATCGCTCCAGTTTTAGTTGGCAACGCCCTAAATTCCTAGTTGATATATTGAAAAATCAGAATAGAAACCATGATTGATACCATACTGAAACGCCAAAAATTCCCGTATCCATGGGCCCGAAACTCGAATCTTTTAAACATCTAGCGACTCCTCTGGGTCACGCTGATGACTGGTTAACGAAAGCGAGTTTATCTGTTGAAATTAGATACATTTTCTTTGACCAGTTCCTACTAGGAGATTGATAATTAATAATTATGTCATAAGTAATGTGTTTAATTCGACAGAGACTAATACAGAGGGAGAGAAAGCTGTGGATCTAAACCATTCTAGTAGAAAGTATTCTCATTTCGTCTACTTAGGTACATATACTGTGTTTCCTTTTAGTAGTTGTAATAAAAATTTTGCTCATTAGTTCAAGTTTGTCCAAACTAGTTATCTTACTCTTAGAGGAACTCATTTTTCTGTTACAGAACGCTTACTCAACAATTCTTGATTGAATCTTCTGCTCTTTGTGGGTTTGCTTATTTGATACTTGTTGGGAAATCGGTTTTATCTGAAAATACCACAAATAAATGATAAAACAAAACACGAACGTAATAACACACATAAAGTTTTTTTTAATACTTTTCTTGAAGTACCTTACATACATAAAAGTTACAATAAGCTGTCCATTTTAAAGAAGTTTTATATTGAATTTTATTTAAACACCCTGTCTATAATTTCTCAGCTTTTGTGTTTCAACAATTCAGTATAGTATGATAATATTGTTGTTTCCAGCAAACTACGCGCGACTAACTTATACCTCTATTCACTAGCTTCCTTGTATTACGCCTCGTGGTGGGAAAAAATAGCAGTGTTACTTTATATTCTTATTTCGGTGAGTGGTGCTGCATTGTCGCACTTCTGCGTTAGTCTGTGCACGAAGGTATGTTAATAATGTATGAATTAGTCTATAATGTGTTCGAAACGTGATTTTTGTATCTTATCAGAAATTTGGATCAGTATGAAAATGTATATGTTTTGCGCTAAGTTCTTTTTCGACAAAACATTTTATTTATTCTTCACATAATACAAAAAACGTAGTCAGGATAGTCTAGTCCCGAGGTACGTAATTTCACCTTTTTAGTTTTACTCAGGTGAGGGTTAAATTCAGCCTCCAGACGCTGGCCTTAACAGTGAATTTTATTTATTGACGGCGAAAGCTTTTCATTGCTGTTGTGCAACTTCATGATACTTTTGAGTTTTTTGCTAGGACTAATATAACACTAATAATAACCTGAGTAAAAAACGTCATTGTTCTCGTAATATGACTCACAACTTCGCGCTTAGATAACACATTAACATGATTTAGATTAACAGTTTTTTTGTTGTTTTTTTTTTAAACCAGGCTTTATTTGCTTTGAAAGTTTGAGTTTGCTTGTTTAACTTTTGAGTGGACGAATGTACTGAACATTCATTGTTTGTTTTTTTCTTTCACTCAGAATAACTAGGTGGTTCAGAAATGGCAGATCCGGAAAAGTGAGTTTTATTTTCTTATTTTCATAAACTGTAACTAAACTAAAATAATATCAATATGAACTGTAAAATTGTATAATGTAAGTACTGTTAGTGTTACTATGTTCAGTGTTAAGTTATAAAATGCCAAAAAATGTGTAACTAATTTGTAGGTGTGTAAGTAGTCAGCTAATAAAACTAAAAGTAACAAAAGTATCAGTTGGATTATTTTTATGAGGAAGTGCTTAACATTTTTTAACTTATAAGAATAATTGTTGAGAAGGTTATTTTCAATGCATTTTTATTTTTTTTTTGTATATTGTTAAACCATATTAAAACATTTGCAAATATATTCAGCATCTTGTGTCTAAAGTATGAGACTAAGATCGTGAAGTACAAGGTAACAATAAGCCATTCAGTCTGCCTAGATAATCTCTCTAAGCTAAGTAATATTTAGTACTAAAACATCAGAATGAAGCTAATACAGTATATGACCAAAAGAAACCACATCCAACTGATAATTAACTTTTACAAAAACAAGTCTTCATCTGGGCTCTGAAAACTTAAAACCATTAGTAATAGTATTGCTTCTAATTCGATGACGAGGAACCCACTTTGAGACTAATTCAAGCCGTCTCCAGCCATTATTAGTATTACTTCTAATGTTCCAATTGGTATATCCTAACTTTTCATTCCCCCATTGAAATGTACCATTTGTAGACAGATCATTTCTAAACATTTTAAACATCTGCATCAACTCTTGCAGTTCTACACTACAGAGAAAAAATACAAAGTTTTAAGCCTTACATATCAGAGGAGTTATCATTTACTTTCTTTAACTGCAGGCAGTGCTGACAAGGGGGGGGGGGGCAGCTGGCCTGGGTTTTTTTTAGGGACCCATCAATGTGATGTTCCAAAGCTCAATAAAAATGGATGCTACTTAATGAGCTAAAATGGCTACTGCTTTTTCATGGATTCATGAAGAAAGTTATCACCTAAATTTCTTTTATGAAAAATCAGCAAAAGTTAATAAATACATTGAGGGTGGGGCGGCGATGATATTACTGACCCCAGGGCCTGCACTGGCTCTCTGTGCCCCTGGCTACAGGTGTCTGTTGACACATAATCATTAAACATACACACACACACAACTTTTGTTAATAATATCTTACAAGTTTCCTACTTAATATTTTGTGCAATAATCATGTCCAAACTTAAACTATGGTGTATAATGTAACTTATCAGCCACATACTTTGTACAAGGTTTTTATTGTTGATTGGCTTGTGACCTTGTGTTATATTAATAACTTTAAACATTTGGTGAACTGTGGTGTATAAATATTTAAATGGTGTTTATTGTTGATTGGCTTGTGACCTTGTGTTATATTACTAATTGTAAACATTTGGTGAACTATGGTGAGGGGCTAGTAGTTTTTCATTACTATTGCTTCTGCTTGCAACCATACAAGTTTTAATCTATCAGTGTCTGATTGGATTTGTCACTCAGCATGTGAATGACACTTATCCTGCAGTTATAAATTGTCGTTTAATTTTATGTGCTAATTTCCAGAATCACTCATTATTTTTTTTGAGCCGATCAAAGCTGTTGTTGATGGCTTAGTTGTACATGGTAGCAGAACAAGATTGTCAGAAGTGACTCAAATTTCATAAACTAGTATCATTTTAAAAAGCTATTTCTTTACTCTTCAAAGTGTCTATAACTTAACTAATGTTGAGGTCAAAACTGTACAGTGCTCTAATTAAGACTCATCAGTTGAACACAACTTACAAACTTACACCAACCTGACTTCAAAATTTAGAATTTTCATAAATGGATAATAGGATTTAATTATTTTCACCACAGCTAAATATTCCATGAAGGCTTCAGACCTTTATCAACAATCATACCAGATCTTTTTCTGTAACATAAATTCATTTCACATCAGAAGCAGATCCTTTCCAAATTTCCATACTCCAAGTGTGATTGTTTCCTAAGCTCAGTATTGAACCTATACCCTCTCATATATCAGATATGTGCTCCACTAACTAATAGCTTCTTTTAAGACACTTTTTCATTATTCAAAATATTAAATATTTCTCTTGCAAACAAAGCCTACCCGTGGATCTGATTGGGTTGTGGAACAACAGTTAATTGGGTACTAAGTTTTCTTGATGGTAATCTAAATCTTTGCATCTTTTCAGCTCCTGATCTAATTTTTGTAAAACAACTTTGTAGCATGTTACAATCGTACACATGCCTGAGCAAGTGATTGCCTTGTGGTTTGTGTGTTGGTAATGATTAATCAAAGAAGAAAATTTCGTAGCTCCCATGTTTCTTTGAATAACTATTTATCAAATGATTATTGTTTTTGAGATTTGAAAACAGTTGATTAATAAGAAAAATTGCTGTATGAAACAAGAGTTTAGACCAAATATTAAAATAATAGCCAAGTTGATAGATGTCAATCAAAGAATTATAAAGCCAAATATATGTGTAGAAAAAAAAGGTAATTGTCAAAAGTGATATAAAATTTGATTTATCATATATTAGACCTTAAAAAATACTTTCTCTTAAGTTCATTAGATCAAGCTTGTTATTGCAATTGTGGTTACAAGGCCACTTCCCAAAATAGGATTCAAGAGAAAAAATGCCAATGAGATAAATCAGACTCCATCAAAAATGTTTATAAAAACTTGACTCAATCTTCATCTGACTAATTGTTTATTTTTTCCATGTAACAAAATAAGAAACACAACTACATTTTCATTTATTTTGAATTTTATTTTATTCATTCAAAACAAGCCATAATTGATGACTTCTTGTTGTATTGTTTCACATAATCTTTCCCACTTTTCCCTGTCCTTTCAAACCTCTCTCTGTGTTGGGATTTGGAGAGAGAGGTCACTTCTTGAATTTTGAGTTCAGCACAATCCCTGGTAAAGTGCTGGAAAACTGGAGATTATCCAATATCACACCATATTTTTAAGGAAGAATTAAACTATGTCCAAACAATAGACTTATTAGGAAGATTGTGTTTGTTGAGGCAGGAGATAGTAGTAGAAGACAGAAGGTTGTTATTAATGGGGTGAAGTCTCCTTATAATAGGAGTACAGTAGAATTTTGTGTTAGGTCTTTTGCTGTTTTTTGTTTTCATTAACAACATTAATAATTCAATAAGCAGTATTACATTGTGTCAGATTTAATATATATATATATATATATATAAGTTACTTTTTGCCAATTGTCGAAATAAATGTTGTTGTTGTTGTTGGGCTTAGGATTCTTCTATAGTAGGTGTCTGTGATTTGTTAACGATAAATTCAACAATGGATAAACAGCACACAATTTACTTGTTTTCAATTAATATACCTATGTACGACAAAGTCTTTACACTACAGAGATTACAAGCATATCATCAACACTATTTGTATAGTTTTCTTCTTGTCAAAAGTCCACTTAGGCCTGTTCAATTACTTTAGAATTTCAGTTGACAAGTCAAACTATCTTCTCTGTATTACTATCGAACTAGTATTCTATGTGTGATTCCCTTACAATTGTGGTGCGAGTTACAGTAATAGTTTGGTCTAATTTCTACTGAAGATCTTCTTTTCCTGTTTTCAAAGTGTACCCAGGCTGATTCAGTTACTTTTAGAACCACACTTTGATGGAATAAAATTATCCTCCTTATCTTTTTTATACTGTTAGTTTCACTCTAACATATTAAACGTTAAGCCTATGTCAGTCGTTAGGTCTATCACTTTTACGTTACTTCACTTCACACCAACTATGTTCTCTTTGCTTTTATCTGTCTAATACTGTCTGTCTGTCTGTTTCATCCTGCTTATCTCATGCTATTTATATCTTTATTACATAGTCCTCTGGCCACTTTCTATATTCTTGACACCAATTAGTTATTGAGAAAACCTACAATCACCTGCTTTAAATCTTATTATAACAAAACTTAAAAATAATAAAATATTCACTCACAAACATAAATTAATCACTAATGTTTAAACCAAACAGTTTTTTTGTATCATGACACTGGTTAAGTTTGCAGATGATATTAAATTAATTGGTATTTCAAATTGTGCAAAAGATTTGCTAGTTTTGCAGAGAAATTTGGACTATTTGGAAAGCTGGGTTAACACCTAGCAGGTACCTTGTAATCACAGTAGAAGTAAAGTTGTGTGTATTGATTACTGAGGAAGGAAACTGCAAGTGAAGCTGATCAGAATTAGTGTGGGCATAACTATTGCAAAATAATTAAAGCTTTCTGTCAGATGTGCATTAGATAGTAATAAAACAAACAAGATTTTAGGTTGTACATGTAGAAATATTGAGTGTATGTCAAGGTCATTGGTTTACTATAAGGTGCTAGTTAGACTTCATTTGAAGTATTTAAGAGATGATGTTAAGTTCCTCAATAACATTCAGAGAAGGGCTACCAGGAAGATTTCAAAGTTGAAGGAGTCATCGTATGGGGATAATGCTTTTACAAGAGTTTTTAACCTTATTAGAGTTTTGGAATAATCCATAAATCCAGATGACATTTTCATAGAAATAAATGTTATTGCAGAAGAAGGATTAGAAGACATAACCTTAAGATAAGGAAAATTTGGAAACCAGTTGAGACATTTTTCTAATAGGGGGTCAGCATGTGGAAACTCTGCTTTTAGCTATGATTGAAGCTACAATAATTAAGAAGTTTAAGAGGAGATTGGAAGAGTGTTTTAGACATCGGGGTTAGATATAGGAAACAGGGTTTCTATATGCATTTTGGAGTAGAGTAGTAATAGAAACTTGTCAGTCTAGATGGCCTTTTGTTATCCCTTTGAAATAAGATGTTTCCTATAAACGTTTGTTGCATCAGTTTTTCTCTGGTTTTTTTTTGTAAACATACTCTTAATAGTTGTATAGTTGAACTAAAATACTTTAAAAACTAAGTTTATTTTATTTAGACACCAGAACCTCAATTATAATTTTTAGTTTTGCCTAACCATGTCAACATCTTGTTGATATAATGGAATGACTGTACCACTTTACGTTTTGGTATTTTAACAGGGATTGAAATATTACATTCCCAAGGAATTACATCTTTTTAGTTGGCTTTTCCAATCAGGAATGCATGGTCCATCTGTATTCCTTTAGTTTTTACCAATGAAAGTGAACATATTGCATGAATTAAATAAAGAAAGAATTCATGAGGGAATGTAGTGTTGATAGCTTTCCATCGAATGAATGTAATTTTATTTCATTATTTCTATCCCTGATAAACTAACTATGATGCCAGGATAAATAAATAATTTTATCCAGATGTAATGGCATGTGTATTTCTTTAATTGTTAATTCCTTTAAAAAAATGTATCGTGAATCACAATAATGGTTCATAATAGGGTTCACCCAGGAATTTCTAATATATCATATGGGCAAAAACCATCTTAAAGAGCAGACGTTTTCTTGAAACAACACTCAAGATCTGTCTCAATGGGTAAGGCTGCTAAAATATTGATATTAGCAAAAGAAAGTTTATTTTCGATTGTTAGACAAAATTAAGAAGTCATCCATTTGTTTTTCATGTTATCATTATTATTCATACTATTCTTGTTTCACAAGCCTAGAGAAAAAATAGCTATGAATATTTTATTCAAATCTGGGCAGACATACTAAAAGAACTCCTGTGCAGGTCATAGGACTATTTTTATGCTGATTCTTAAAAGAGAAGATATTTTATCAGTTTTTTCATTGCTACTGGCCAAGTTTCTCTTCAAAGCCATTCAAAAACTGAAGCCTACAGCAAAAACAGCTAGGTATACTGCACCACAATCTATACACAGCTACTAAACAAACTCCTCTGAAGGATGTAGAGCTATTTTTAAGGTGATTCTTTTCTACCAACATAAGCTCTTTCAAGTTATTCAAACATCACAGAAATGTAGAAGCCATTTCAGCACCATTATACTAGTCAGAAAAGCTTCATTTTATTAGAGTAATCAATGTGTATATATTTATAACAATGTCTCCAGCCTTATTGTTATTGATTATAATTTTAAAAGCCACTACAGTAAAAATGGCTATGAATATTGTACTGAAACCTGGACAGTAGTAATGAATGCAGTATTAAGTATGTCATAAGAGTTTTAAAATTAATTCCAATGTCTTTGGTTTTTTTCCTGAAACTTTTTTCTAAGTCTTTCACTTTATGCCTTTGAAAAATTCTGGTGTTTTAATAATAACGCATTAATTGGAAAATAATTTATGCAACTTATAGATTATTAGTTGGAAATTGCCATGTTGAGAATTCATAATTTCTTGAGTTTGCTGTTCTTTGTTATTTTTTTGCCACCCTAGTGGCACAGCAGTCTGTCTGTGGACTTATAATGCTATAAACTGAGTTTCAATACCTGTGGTAGGCAGAGCAGATAGCCCTTTGTGTAACTTTGTGCTTAACTTCAAACAAACTTGTTTTTCTTCAAGTTCACTGTTGTACTTTGTCTCTATGTGGTTTTCTGCAACTATTTCAATGAGTTTCCTAACAATAGATGATTACCATAGTAGATTTATCTACTCTTGTCAGTGTTGATTTATTCTACTGATTTTCTTACTTCACTGAAATTGTGAGTGTATATTTTATTATTATTATTCATATTTTTGTTTCATAAGCCTACAGCAAAATTGTGTGGGTATTTTGGGCCAAAACCTAGACAGTTATACTATATGATATGAATGATATGACCAATTTAAAAAGTTGATTATTTTTCATTGGAAGTTGATTTACGTGACTATAAATACATAATATATGTGATGTTGTGAGCGGCTTCTTTTGTACTCGACACATGTTCACACAAAAATTACATATTTTGACTTTACTGAAACTGATATGTACTGTAAACATGGAGACAAAATGGGGATTTATGGCTTGAGAAAATAATGTTGACACTATTTCCAACCTAGTTTGCTTACTTTTTTAGAGTCCCTAGTTGTAGGCTTGAAAATATAAAATTTTCATTTTGATTCAACTTGTTTTTGTACTTTTTTGATGATCCCTATCCCCATTTTTATATATTAACAATTTTTAATTATCTTGTATCAGGGGTATGCTGGTTTGCCCAAACCAGTTGTTAAATTTTGGATCACCGACCCGTTTTTTGATTTTTAACAAATATTTAGCAGTCAATAGAAATTTATCTTGAAATGGGGCAAAAAAATATCTTATTTGGCACTCGTCGATTTACACCACTATCTAAATTTCAAATTTAATCAGAACTGGTTGTTAAAAAAATTGCCAGCACACTCCTGTCTTGTATTAATGTGTTTCTGTATAGCCTTATTGTACATTCAAGTTAAAGTTTTCCATTCTATCTTCTATATTTCTTAAAGTTGTATAGTCCAAGTGCTTAACTATAAAACCACAAATGAGACTTGCAAGGATTCCATGACATTGCATGTTTTATGGTTTCACCTGTCTGATGCAGTAACTGTCTTCCAGTATAACAAAATTTAGATTGGAAAATGCAAATACATCTAGTATTTCCAAAACTTTTATTGTGGAGTAAAATTATCTTGAAAGTGCTGGTGTTTTATTACATATTATTTGTAATCTTTTCTTCTAAAATATTCAAAGCTAAAACTCAAGATTTATGTAATTATAATAAGTAGCTCTTTCTTTGTTAAATAACTAATTTCTTTCCTGTATTGAAGAATAACAGAGATATTGTTTTCCAGATGATTTTATATTTTGCACTAACTTCACTGTTTTACTTTTAACTATTGTAATATGGACAATACTTGCTGATGAAGGTATTAATACTTGAATATATGTATATGATTGTAACCAGAGCTCTTGAAACTGCTGGGGACATAGATGAGGTTGAAGAAACGGATGGTGAAAAAGATGAGAAAAAGCCATGTATGGGTAAATTCATTATACATGTATATATTTCATGTAAATATGAGTTTGAGCTTTGTTTTTACAGAGAACTAGAAATTATGTCTTGGAAAGTACTTTGCTCTATTGGTGTGTCTTTTGTATGAATTCATCCATCGGTAAACATTGCTCTTAGATAAGATTGAAAGTTAAATTCTATATAACAGAGGGAATGATAAGCCTACTGTTAAAATTAGTAATATGAGCAACAAAAATATAAGTTAACAGAAAACTGCTCATTAGTTTCTTAAGCTCACCTCTCTACTTAGGAAGAGACCCAACCAGAGTACCCTAGATACGTCTCGATGTTGCCTGTCATATCCACACACCCACTCGACAGAAGTGGAAACAAATTCAAGCTAAAAGTACACACTGAAACATCAACAAAACCATTCCTTAAAATTTTAACTAATACTTAACACAAAACTAATTCTAAAAAATGTTTCAAAACTTTATTACTTGTGACATTCACGTTCACATTTCCAGCCTCAACATTCCACCACTTAGATAATTTAGCCATACATCCAGATGAAATTTTCATCAAAAAGAAACAACTGTAGGTTGTAAGACTAAAAAAAAAACAGTATTTTAGCAATATTAAAGACCTTATTGTAGACACCTTTGGCTTTATGCTTCAGAGAAAACAATCTAAGCCTAAGACTGTCATAATTGCTCAAATTTCTGAAAACAGGCATCATTCTAAAGTGTTATTCTGTAAGTGCCACCAAGACACAATCAACAAAATTGTTAGGGGCTAAAATTTAACCACCCCTCCAATAAGGAAAATAAGTTGTCCATTTATTGCATTGCATAAACATAAACTGGAAATTATTGATATACCCATTTATAGTTATTTAATTTACATTATTATATTTAACTTTCTGGTAATCTGTTACTGGATATTTAGTCAATTTAAGTCTTCTTTTATTTGATTAGTTTAAATTATATGTAGTAATGAGTAATGTTTTTTCTATGCTAATACTTTATTTTTGAATATAGATTATATACATCTGCTTGTATATGATGGCTTTTCAGATACTTTGTACCTCCTAAACCATCAACTGTTTAGTAACATTTAAAGCAACAGTGTATATGTTATAACCTGTTTGCTTTTGAAAGGTATTTCTAAGTATTGTGAATATGAAGAGTACAGTTAGTAGAGCACCTTTCTGACAAACTGTGATGTTAATAATCATGCAGTTCTGTCAGAAGTTTGTGCAAGATCAAATAAGACAAGTACTCATTCTGACTTGAGAGATGTTTGCTAACTGAGTCAATTAAACTATGTCTACAAATTCTTTTGGATGTTAAATGAGATTGCACCAATGTATCTATATTAACACTTGGAAGGCTTCAAATATATTTCTTTGAAAAAGTGTGTTAATGTAATTTATATGGATATTTACTATTGTTGGGCATTTTTAACTCTACAGTCTTGTTGATGAGATATTTATTGGTCTATAACAAAAAAAATTAAACATTTTCTGGGTTAAGATCTAGTGGATATGTTGCTAACCTAGGATTTATGTTTATAAGAGATAGGATTGATAAATGTTTACATCCAGACCTTTTATGTCTCATCTTGATATTGAAATTACTTGTAAGTATATATATTTATTGTTAAACTTAATTCAGCTTTATTTTTTTGTTCCTTCACAAGGTATATTAAATACCGAAGTGATGAAAAATTCTCAAATTCTGGCAGCCCTTCAGTCTCAACTAGGTAGCATGGTAGGGTCCCCATCAGAATACATAGAAAGGTGGGTATTTAACAAAATGTTGATTATTATTTTTACTTGATCATTTTAATTATCTCTAACTCTCTGATTAGATGAAAAATTTTATTTCATAGGTATTACATTAATAATTTTTGTGAGATTTTAACACGATCACCACGGGTACCCTTTACTGCGCATGACACAAGGTTTTAGTGTCGTACATTCAAAATTTTATTAAACTACTTTTTGTTTATGTTATACCAATTAGAATAGCATAAAATCTTAGCTAATAATTCATATTTAAATAGTATATAGGTTTTAAGTTCTTAATACTAAAAGCCAATATTTTAAAAAATCCTGAATTTCCCCTTGTGTGACCCATGTGACACATTTTTTCTTAGCATTTCATCTTCCCTGTTTTACCCATCACCCCTAAGAAAATTAAATTTTACATAAATTACTCTCTCTAAAATCGTCATTGCTCAGACAAACCATAATTTTTATAGTCTTCAATTTTATTTGGTTACAGACTTCTGCCATGCCTACCTGTCACATCCTCACTTTCAGAATTCATTAATAGTGCTCTTACATTTAATTATATATTATCTATAACCAATAGAAATTCAAAGTTTTCATATATCGAATGATGTATTGTTCAGTACAGTTAAATGTCAATTTCACTCAGAGTACCAACATCATTCCTATGAGAAAGTTAACGATTAGCTAGGATCAATTTGTAACAACTCTTGTCACATAGTTAGAAAGCCAGAAAAATTCTTAGAGGTAAGGGAATTTGTCTAAATTTTGCAGGTTATTAGTCTATATTCTTTAGTGAATTATTAAATTAAATAAAAATTATTAAGTGCATTACTATCATTAGTATAAAAAATTAGGGTTAACTCTCTTCATCAAT